TCCACTCAAAATGGATCGGAGTTTATCGAGATACAAAGTACAGGGCATCGCCGTGAAGTAACTGGAGTGTTTCCAGGGGACAGTGATTCGTCTAATCAGGGGTTGATCTGTCAAAACAAATTAATAATTTTGCATTTGACTTTAGACAAGCCTCATTCCATTTGGCTGAGATGGTTATTGTGGCCATTATTTTCCACTAAATAATAAAATTCTCAGTATGAGTCCCTGATTGGACCCAGGGGGTGGGTGGGTGTGTGGTTCCTTGGGACCTGATGTGACCGTATGGAAGAAGATGAAATGATCTTTCACAATGAATGCGATTGCCTGCTCAAATTAACCAAACTGTTTTACTTCAACAATAACAACGACAACAACTCCGTTCCTCCGTCCCTGTGATGGTACGGGGTTGATACGGGAGCTCCGGTGTTCGGATTGGAGCCAATTATAGTGGCCACAATGTGATCGAAGTTTCTGCGTTTGTGTGCGTGTGCTAGGTTAGCACTGATGACACTGTATACATTCCAGCTGCTGTTGAATAAACAGTAATTTGTAAGACGCTTAAATCTGTTACGGGTTGTGATCATTTATAGAAAGAAAAGTTTTCATTAAGCATAGTGCGGACAGATTTTGTGAATGAAGTGGAAAGTTTAGGTTTGCGATAATTGTGAATGGGATTCGGCACAATTGCTCAATAAATTCGTGAAAACTGATCATTTTCGGAGAATAGGTTGAGGAAAGAGCTTTTTTAAAAAGAAAACATAGCTTTACTGATTTCACAATCGTTTCTAATATCAAACAGTCTAGTTACAAAATTACATCAATCCTGATGTTTTTCAACACTAATGAAACACTTGTCAATCACTTGCACAGGCTTTCTTTTCCAAGTAAAATAGTAACTCGAATTAACGAGTTTTTGAGAGAGAGAGAGAGAGTTGAATGACTCAAACCGTCTGCATACACCCATGGACGCCGAACACTCGCTCATACCTCTTACCTTCTGTTGCCATAATTTTTTTTTGTTTCAATCTTATGAATCGATTTGAAAGATAAACCAAAGGACAGTTTCCCCAAAGGATGAACAACCTTGAAAGTTAACACTCAGTGACTGATGTATACGTGTTTTCAAATATTGAGCTACAGACGGTTCTGTTAAAATCGACCAGTGGACGCATCGTGTGTGTGTGTGTCGGTGTCGGTGTTGGTGGGTGGTGGTAAAAACAGGATACTGTAGGCGTTTTCCTTTGTTGAACAATGCATATGGAATTTGAGTATAAGCCCAAACGCAACGGGATCTATGTCCCGTGTGCGATCTATTGGCGCTATCCCAGATGACTTTGCTTCTTTCTAACACCGCCCCGGCACTGTTCAACTCTTGCCGCTTCGGAAGTCACGGCAACTCACCAAATGATCGATAGCACCTCGTATGAATGTCAGCACAACTGAACATAGCATTGACACTGGCGAAACCAAAGTTTGTTCCTATTGGCAATTTGCAACGATCGTTTTATTTAAAAACTGTGAATTCTTCACGTGCGCTGAACGCGTCTATGCACTCACGATCATTCCCGTGCACTATCATCATTATCAGTGTATGTATTTGTTTATTCCAATCTAATGGGTTTGAAAGTGGTGAAGGTCCCAACCAGATCACCTCAGTTGGTGGAGAAAACGATTGCCAACATTTTCTAAATGAACCCGAAAACCCAATTCAGCATCCCCATCAGCCCCACTATATTGATCATGCCGACTTGCTTATCTCTCTCTCTCTGTCTCACTGTGGCTGATCCTCCGCACAATGTAACGGATGCCAGTGAAAACCTGTTGGCTTAGACAGAAAATTTCACCAATATGAATGTTTTGCGCATATCTGGAGTGAAGCAACTTTCTAAAAGCACAGTTATTTCGGGCGGAAGTCATGTTGACCTGCTCTATGAACAGAATATTGGCAACTAAAATGCACAAGGTTATCAAGATCAACGTCATTGTCGTGGTTTAGGTGATTTAGGGTTAGGTTTATATCTGGCTAGATTTTCCTTTAACATTCCTTCCAGAATTTTGACCTTACCGTGATCTCAATTTGATTAACGGTTTCCAAACTATGCATTCCCGTTTCCCCAAACTGGCAAAGTTCATCAGATGATAGCAATGATTTCAACATCCCTTGAGACTTGTGCGAGAAAAATTGTGTCCGCTGTGGTAGTGCTTTCCTCCTCAAATTAGCGAACAGTATAGTGAAATCTGATCAATCGGAATTTCGTCTATTCTTCCGTTTTTGTCGGGTTATTGAAAAGCCGTTCTCACAGTTCTTAGTTAAGTATTCTTTCATGCCTACCTCTGCCCCATTCTATCCTGTTGTGTTTCTGTTTAGCGTTGGGACTTACTGATGTATCTGTTTTAAATTATAATTCACTTTTGATTACCCTGTTTTGTAAACTCCTTGAGTTCTGATGAATTCATATAAATGGATTTCAATAACACCTCAGTCACCGATGCACTCATATCTGTTTGCCTGTCATTCTCATTCATCACTGCTATTCCGTTCATGATTTGTCCTTTAGGTCATCAATATTCTGATGTTCTTCATATTTCTGGGCATCTTCCCGTTTGGTCGAAAAGGTAGACCACTGTATTTGAGTTTCTAACAAGTAATTATATTTTACTTGCTCGTATGTTTGCGTAGGGGGTCTAGGGAATACA